GGGGGGGGGTTACTTAGTCGGTCGGATTATTGAAGCCGCAGGAGAATTAATGGAGGACCATGAAAGTGGTCAGGAATTATTATTAGTAGAGACGGGAGGCAGCGCCAGGAGCGCCAGGAGCGCCGGCGGGCCGGTCCAGCGGTCGCTTTATGAATCATTAATGAAAGTATTGATGGTGATGATGACGATGCCCTCACGGGCCGATTGTGACGGTGGGTGACAGTGATGGTGACGGCGATGGAGGCGGTGACGGTGTTGCGAGCAGACGCGGGGAGACGGAGTAAAGGGCTGAAGGCCGCCGCATGGGCGCGACCGCCTTCAGCTTTTCTCCGTAGGCACAATTTTCGACTTTATACCGACTTGCGATTTTCAAAGTTCACTAGTCACCAAAGTTTGGATTGGCTTACTTAGCCCTCCGCGCCCCTCGGGGCTCACCTCTCGATTGTTTGCAGCCGCTCCCCCTTCACCCCCCCTCCCCTCCCCCTCCAGGGCCGGAGGTCGAGAGGCAACGACGAAACCGACGGGACCCGGGTCCCAATGCTCCGTAAGTTTCTGCCGCGTGGCGAGCGCGCGCGCGCGGCCAAACTTAAGAGAAAGGAGCGACGCGCGCGGCCTAAAAATCAATTTCAGTTCCGCTTCCGGTTAATGCCACCACCGAGACCCCTCCGTCTCACTAAGCTATCCCTCCACCTCACCCCCGCAAAATTTTTCCGTGCGTGATTGTTAATAATCAGGATATATCCTTGTGCACTGGAAAAACAAAAGGTGCTATATAACACTGCAGTAGTGCGTTTGTAAGGCACAAACATTGCCTGGAATAGTAGCTTTGTGGGCCATAAGTACCTTAAATTGCAAATTTGTAAAGGCACTGTTTCACTAACGACTCGATAATGGCATTAAAAATCACCTTTGTTTTTCTCGGGTACAGTATCCCTAGTAGCACATACTTGTCGTACGACTGTCGGACAGCTGCTGAAGAAAGATGCGGACTATAGGTGTGAGATACGAAATGAGAAAAAAATGATTCTATCGCTCTATCTGTTTTTCTCGTGGCAAAAATCTGTGCCGGCCATTTATCGTAAGGGAAGCGAAAAACCACTCTTGTGGATTCAAACAGGAATCGATAAAGATACAACAGAATAGTAGATAGTTTAAATTTGACAGACCAGCGACAATCGTCTGACTGTGGGAAAAACCATTACTATTGGATTTTCGTTATCGTCACAATGATTGGCCGATTGAAAAAAATTACACTGTGTGTGACAGTTTTGTGTTACTAGGAATGTACCGTAGGTGAGGGCGGGTTTGCCTAACTACCCAAAGGACTATAGCGCCTTACAGGCAAAGCGGGTAGGCAAAACCCGCTCATCGCACCTGCGTCTTCTCTCTGAATCACCCGGCACGACGTCGACGTAGTGTGTCGCCGTCGAGCAGGTACTTCTAGAACTGAGTGTGGCGCCGTACTCTGCTCTTTGCGTACGAAGTCTGTTGCTCGACGGCGACACACTACATTCACGCGCCGTACACTCTAAACTGGTTGGCGTCTTTTAACGCCAAAGAATTGGCGTTCTGTGATAACGCCAGAAGTTGGCGTTCAAAGACGCCAACATTTGGCGTTCGAAGGAGAAGAACGCCAATATTTGGCGTTAAAAGACGCCAATTTTTGGCGTTTTTCGGAAAAGAACGCCAATATTTGGCGTTCTTTAAAGGACGCCAATAATTTGGCGTTAAATGACGCCAACCATTTTACAGTGTACTCAGATTTCAGAAATTTGCTTAGGAAAGTGAAAAGCTGCGGCTTGGATCTCTACTTGAATTTCTGGAAAATTATAATTCATGAACGAACCTCTTTGATATGTTGCTGTTACCCGAGCGCGTACGCTCGCTAAACGGATCCAGGAGCGGCTTTATCACCTTGGAGGTGACGCCAGGGCGCCACCGCCACTAGCATCATCATCCGACCGGCAGACACGACACAACTTCGTTAAATTTGTTAGCCGCGAGCAGGCCGCCCTGCCGCCCTCGTACAGCCTCCTTCCCACGCGCGGCTCGTGATGCGGAAAGTAATTTCCAGGCATGGATAGAGGAGACACCCCCCTCCTCACACTCGACGCGCATAATCCGGTGTGATCACATACGCCCCCCCCCCTCGAATCACCTCAAGGCGCCCGTCCATTGTCCCCATCGCCTGATAGCATTCACCCCTCCAAGGCTGACCAAGGTTCCTATTGCCCTTAACGCAGGCGTGCAAAGCTGGATTCCGGCATCGTGCACGACAACCAACAAAACAGTGCATCGATTCACGTAATAGAACTGTGAAAATTAGTAGCTTGTTTACAGGAACATTTTCCACGATGTGTGTCGTAAAACTTCAATTTTACATTGTAAATTTACACAGACTTCATACCGACTTATTGGAATATTGATCGACAATCAAGAATGGGCTGTCACAAACTCACGACAAACTTTGTAATCAAAAATTACAGCATATAATGTTGTAAGTTTACTAGGATAATTTGGATAATTTACACAGTTAGTGTTTTCCATCTAATTGACAGAAGCACTCGTATAGTATTTACAACTCATTCCAGAGTGTTCACCGCCTGCCCGGCGAGCACGTCCGGGTGGGTAGCGGTGGCTTGACCACACCCCACACCTATCGG